CGGGATCGCTGCAGAGGGGGAGGATTCCTTGAGGAATGAGAGACGCCTCCACGGAGCTGAGATTCAGCACCCGTTGGACCACGATCTTGAAGTCCTCGGGAGCCCAATCCCATCTGACTCCCTGGTGGGTCCGCATGTAGTCTTCGGACCCGGTGTACTCCCAGGCGCCCCGGGCGCGCCGTTGGAGCGGCGCAATCCGGCGACGGAGGTAGTCGCCGTACACCATGGCCCCTGTGAGCCCCTGGGATCGCAGGCCCGCCAGGCGGTCGAGGACGGCGTCATAGTCATCCCCCAGATCTACCGGTGCCCGCCAGCTGGAGACCTGCGCCGGGGGCTGACTTGGAAGTCGGAGGCGCGCTTCGTTGGCGAGGGGGGTGTAGAACCAGTCGCTCTTCCAGTCGTCCCACTTCTTGCGGAGGGCGCAGGGGATGTAGCGGTTCAACACCGGCCCCCGCGGCTGGAAGTAGCAGCCACCAACCACCGACGGCGGCGACACCGACTGCACGGTGAAGAACCACCGGAACAGCCGAAGAGATGGGCGCACCCCAATGAACATCTCGCATAGGTGCGCGAAGATGGCCAATGTCATCACTGCATTGGGGGTGAGGTGCGCCATCTGGAGATCGTAGAAATCCAGAACATCCATAAAGAAAGAAGAAAATGGCGGAACCAGCCCTGCCATTGCGAAGGGGAGGAAGAAGACGGACCGCCCCGGGTAGTCTGGTGCCGGGCGTCCCTCGCCCAGCATCACTATCTCCCGGCCGGTGGCAGATTCCGGCATAAAGCGGCGCGGCAGCCCGGCATGCCTCTCGCTCACGATGCGAGAAGGCGGAAGTACGCTTCCGTCGAGCAGAGCGGAACCCCGTGCCATGGCGCCGGAGGAAGGGATGATTGAGAACGAGCGCGTGTGGCGAAGGAAAGGCGCAGCAGAGAAAGAGTTAGGGCTCAAGCAGCGAAGGCAAGGGGAATAATGGCGAAAGGAAGGGAGCAAATCCTTTCCTCGGTGTCTTTATACCCTTGCCATCGCTGTGCCTGGCTCCTCGTTTCTCGCGCCCACTATCTCGCTCCCTCGTTTCTCACTATCTCGCTCCCTCGTTTCTCGTGCCCACGCTTCCACTAATCCCATTCGCCCGCTTGCGGCGCATGAGGTGGATATGCGGTTGTGGCAGTCGAGATAGATCGTATCGTGCGCGCGTTAATTACGCTCGCCGACCGAAGCGACGTTACCATATCTCCAGGCGAAGCAAATCGGCTCACCCAGATTCGTACGCCGCTCAAGTAATGTGGCAGTCTCGAAGAGACCGCCCATTATGGACAGCCAAGTCACCATTACCGATGTGCATGGTTTGAGACCGTTGGGTTTCTGCCCAACCATGGAGACCGGTCCCACCTGTCACCAGGCTTTAGGAGTGGCGTCACGCCCGACCGCTTCCCTTGAGAAGGGCGATCGCCCTGGCATAACGCCGGGGGCTACTGTCGGTGATATGGGACCGGGAGTATCGTGACCAGAGGCTTGAGGCAGACACAATCGCCCACGTGGCCTGGCACCTTCGGGGACGTCGGGCCCGAGGGTGAGGTGTCCGCCCTCCTCCTGATTTCCCCGAGGGGGGGTCGGGTGACTCCTGCCCCGGCCCCGAGGGCCGAGGCGCCCCGACCCCTTGTGGAGTTAGCGCCACGTGAATGGGTTGGGTGAACACGGTAAGCCTCACCTAACCACATTTATTGCGGTCTGGTCGAACGTGTCACGCTGCATGCAGCGTAGTGCAGCGCGTTCCTTTATCCGGTCTGTGACCAGTCACAGACCGGTCAGATCACGGGTTAGGTGGCGACTGGCGGTCTGACGCACGCCTTGCCCCATCCCGTCAAGACGAAAGCCTCTAGGCACTCGTCTCAAGCCGGAGCTAGCGTGTAATCTCTTAGAGATGGCACGTTAGCCCTGGTTAGATTTATACCAGGCTTCATCCCAACCATTACAGGCAAGATGCTACATGAAGAAGGGCAAACATGCACGTTGCTAAGCTGACACGTGGTGGACAAGGATGACTGATCTGTGACCGGTCTGACACTGGTCGCGTCATCAACAGACAGCCATAATCCCACGTCGCACCTGTTTCCGGCGGAAGTGGGGGTAGATATGGGCCGTCCCGTCAGAAGGGCACCCGGAGAGCAACCGTACCGATCTCCGTCCATTTATGAAGAGAAGAACAGTCCAGTTTGGAGAGGGAGAGGGGCATGTGGTATCCCCTTGAGATATAAAAGGAGGACCTTGCCCACTTAGATAGGGGGGGACTTTTGGACACAAGGCCTTCTCCAGATCCGATCCCAGAGCGATTGGGGGCTGGTTGACACTTTATTACTTGTTCATACACAAATCCACCAAAACACAGGAGTAGGGTATTACGCTTCCCAGCGGCCCGAACCTGTATACATCGCCCGTGTCTCGCGTTTCTTCCTAGCTGGCGATCTTTCCACATACCGAGAGAGCTTGAGATTTCACCCTAAGCCCCCGGCCGAACCGGCAAAGGGGGGCCTGTGCGGTCTCCCGGTGAGGAGCCACGAGCTCCGTCAAGCCCGCATGCAGTGGCTGACCTAGAAAAAATATTATTGGTCCAATACAGTACATACTAAGGCTGGTGAGAAAACACCTCGTTTTCCGCGCGCACGCTTCCCAAACTACTAAACGGTGTTTTTTTCAAAAATTTTCTATAGGAAAAGTTGATTTAAAAAATCATATTAATCTATTTTTGAAATTTAAAATAGTTAATGCTCAATTAATCATGCACTAATTGCTCACCTCGTTTTGCGTATCTCCTTCTCCTCAAACTCACCCTTAAGTATTTAATTATGGAAAAATACATCGAAGGTCACTCATCTTGTCACCCAATTACAAAATCATCCTTGAACTACAAAACCGGATACAACTTATCCCCCAACTTACAAAACCAGTGCAAACTAGGTCCTTCGGTGGTATTGTCTTTGGATTTGGGTGACGTGGCGTCTACGTGGCTTCTTTGACTAGGCCTTTATTCCATGGGTATTGACGTGACGCTTACGTGGTAATTCAAGTCGAAAAAAAATAAAAATAGTGGGGCCCATGTACCAGTTACACTAGAAAATAAAAAAAAATGATGGGTCCATGTGGGACCCACATGCCATCCTAGTATTCACATGACACCGGACGGAGCGGTGGGGACAGCGGCGCCGCGGCGGGGAGGCCCAGGGCGCAGCAAAGGGCGCGGGCGGCAGCAACTGACGGCGCCGTGGAGGAGGGCGTCGGCGGCAGCGCAGAGGAGATGGGCATCGGCACCGGCAAAGAGGAGATGGTCGTCATCGCCGGCGAGGTGGGGGAGGCGGAGGAGGGGAAGGGAAAGGGTGGCAGCGGCGGCATGGCACGAGGCGGCGACAAAAGAGGTTGGGCCCCATAGGCTAGCTCACAACGAGGCATCAGAGGGGCCACTGGCGCGGAAGAGGGAAGCCCCGCCCCGGCCATGGCAGCGGCGGCGGCGCAGCCGCCGCAGAAGGAGGCTACCGGCGCGCCACCTCCACCAACCGCACCCGCACCTCCGTCGTTGACAGCCTCCACAAGAACTCCACGACTCCTGCAGCACGCGATCCAGATGGCCGCAACGAGGTGCTCGGCGTGGTGGCCGAGATCCAGGAGCGGCACAGCGCGCCTCCGCCTCCATATGGTCGACGTCGACTGTCGCCCGCCGCCTCCGTCGCCTCTCCACACACGGCTCCGCCCCCACCACCCCGCGCATCCTCGCTCACCTCGTCGTCGCCGGGGTCCACGCCGGTGACCTCGGGGACCGCTTCCATGTCAGTGTGAGCGTCCAGTGGTCGCGGCGATGGCGGCGGGCGTCCGTTGGCCACCGGCCGCGCCGTGCGCCTCCAGTCTCCTCCAGCTGCCGCCCGTCTTCTCCTCGAACATCCGACCCAGGCGCAGCGGCCTGCTCCCGCGTCGCAGCCGCCACCTCGTCACCCACCGCCGCGTCGCCGGCCGTCGGACCTCCTCCTCTCCCGCCTCGCCCCAGCGACCTCCTCCCACCCGTCGGCCGGCCAGCAGAGAGGAGAAAAGTGAGAGAGAGAGAGAGAGGGGGAAGGGAGAGAGAGGGTGATGACATGGCATACTGATATGGGGGCTCACGCTGACTCAGTCGCCATGTTACATAAAATTATAGTCAAAACCACCAAAGAAACTAAAGTGAACGGTTTTATAAATTGAGGGATATCATATATCCAGTTTTATAGTCGGAGATGATTTTATAATAACTCGATGATAACAAGTTGAGAGGGACCTTTTATGTACTTTTTCCTTTAATTATCGATTGATAGGGTCGCGACGATGCCACGAGGGAGTCGCATGCGACGATCCCTCGATTCGCTTGGCCAGGCCGGCGAGACGACGCAAACCACAGCGGAGTAAACTGAGATGTTGAGAAAACGTTAGACAAAGATCGATGTGGCAGAGCCGCAGAGGTGTCAACTACCCAGAGGCCAGAACTACCTCAACGGATTACATGCAGTACTAGGAAACGATCCAAAATCAATCCCACAAAAATCATCCCTCTATAAAAAGGTCGTGATGGAAAGGTAAACGGGTTTGGGTTGTAAACACACCTGAACGAGTCGAAACAATCTACTGCGAAGGTGGGAATATAGTGTCATTGGATAAAGTGGGTTCTTTACAAGGCCCAGCTAGTCTAGCTAGTACAGAAAGACTTGGAATCACCAAAATTGAACGTCATAAACATCTCAAAAAACCAAAAAAGCAAACCTTAACGACACGAAATTTGTTCTAAGCCATGGAATATAATTATATAAAGAAGAATGTTGGCATGTGGCAACAATGGATCACGAACGGAAACAGCATTGACAAGATGATCAACACCCTGTAAGGTCTGAAACTCTGAATAGCTGATTCTCACTGCTATAGGAAACCGTCACTGTGCAGGTACACAACAGAAAGCATGCCTTAAAAATAGTTCTACAGGTTCAGCAGTTTTAATCTGGACTTCAAAAGCACCGCCCAGGTATTTCATTTATACCAATTCAGCTCAAGATTTTTGTGTAGTACAAAAGGGGGAAAGTTCGACACCCACAAAAATAAATCAATAATGATACAAGTGAACAAAAAAAAAGTTTTTTTCAAAGCTATACTTGATGGGTAACTTACAGTAACCATGGTAAAGTAACACTAACAAGATGAACAACGAGACAGAAAAACCTTGCATGGTTGAGCTTTTCAAAGACTTCCATGGCAACGTCCCAATGCCAACTATATGTTGTATATCGAGCATCAAACATGTATCTTGGGAGTTGAAATTTAGCATCAAAATCTTTGAGCAGCCATATCAGAGATAACTCATATAAGTCTCAGTTCGTATTCACCAGCCATTGTAATGTATCTAACCCAAGGAAGCGCCTGGTACCCACTCTTTTCAATGATCTTCAGATAGCGAACCTGCAGAAAATACAAGATGGCATACATTTTGAGTGAAGATAGCAAAGAAGTACCATAAGAGCAATCAAGTACATATTTGCAATAGTAATTTGATTACCTGAATACCCGACACAGTGAAATATGGTATCTCAAATTTCACTCGTATTGGTGCCTTCTTTTCAGGAGCTGCTTCTTCTGCAGTTATACTTGGAAGACTAAATTCAGCTCTGCACATGTAATCCTAACAGAAAAACTCACATATATTAGCACACTTCTAGGTAGCATGAAGTAGAAGGCAAAGATGACTTGGCTTGAAACTTACCTTGCCACCAGGAAATGATTTTACTTTCCAGACCATTGCATCTCTCTCAGGTGCATATGCAGCAGAGCCCATTGAAGTTCTTATATTAGGGTTCGTAGCATCTGAAGGAACAGGCACTTCAATTTCAACATTTGTTGCTGTGCTGCAGGTGAAAATAGGAAATATGTCACCTTCCAAGAGGCATTAGTGTAACAGCAAACATTGCTCTTGTAAAATGCTCACCTCCTTTCCTTAAACTGACTTCTTGCTTTCACCATAAGTTCTATTCGGCTTCTTGAATGTTTCTCAATTTGTGCTTCCACCCAGATAAGTGGTTTTACCTTAAGGATATATAAAAAAAGACAGGCATGAGAATAGCGGAGCAAGGCAGTGCATTTCAGGTATCTAAAGCATCCAATAGCTGTAAATCACAAGCAGTAGAGAAAACCTGGGTGCTAAGTCTGTATGTCATTAGATCGAAAGATCCGTCAGGAGGTATGAAGGATATAGTTCTATCATTCTCAAATCTAGCCAACCTCACGCACCTAGTAATAACAGAAGAGAGAGGTCATATATGGCCCTGCTCAAATTGTCAAAGTGACTTGAAAAAAATGCTAAACTGTTTACTTACTGGTGAAATTTAATATCATCAAGATCTATTGCTTTTCCTTTAGTAGCTCGGCCTTGAGCCTCCAAAAGAACCCTATCGTTCAATCCAAGTTTGCACTCAGGCATTCCACTGATTCACAATATTGTTCAGTATTAGTGGGGGTCAGAGATGTGCAGGAAAACATAAATGGTTGGGGTGACAGCATAACACAAATAATTTGAACTTTGAAACATAGATGGAAAACATAATTCGATGGGGAGCATGGCGCATGAGCATCATCAGATGATCAGTTCAGAATGTCTGCTAAAAGGTAGACATCTGAAACAAATTAAACGGAATACTCCCAAATTCTGGTAATCTGCAAAGCACTCTCATTGCTTATATCCTAATAATCTTAATTTGTAGGCTCCGAAGCTATAATTGACATTTAGAGGTATTTGCTAACATTTTGTGATGGGTATGGCCAACATCAAACACTTGAAATGCAGTATCGATGTTCCCAGGTCATAAATTGTATGTCCATCTTTCAACTGCAAGTCACTTTATGATCATATGAGAGACCACCATTCTTTCTGAATATGGGATATAAAAGATGCATAGACATTTTAAAAATTAGAAAAAAACGGTGCGGCACATCTCCCAGGTAGTGCTTACAGAGTGAATTTCTACCTTGATCAAATTCCTTGATGATTTAATGTGTGGCAATAGCAGTTCTTTATACAAATACGTGATAGCCTTGGCAAATCAAATTCATATAACAATAGTTGACGTTTGAACTTTGAACCAATTCTAAAGTCGTCAGATAGTATTGCATGGAAATTGATCTAGCTCAAAAGACATTCAGCATGCTTTCATTTCTTTGTCCAAGATTTATGATAGATCTAGTTGCATAACAGAAGAATCTACAAGCAGTAATCTGTTAGAGACGAAGAGGTTTCTAGAATAAGACTTCCTGAAAACTTTCAAAGGCAAAAGGTCAATGAAACACTATGGCTACATGATAAAATCATGAAATTTCAGAAGTGAAGCGGTAGTATAATACTTAGTTTGACACACATAAGAATGGAACAATTGGAATACAAATACATATTAAATGCATGATTACAGGAAAAATGAGCATATGAACCAGCAAGTAAGATGACGCGTTTACTTCACAAATAAAGAAAGTAAAAAAGTTTGCTTAGGCCATCACTTAAACAGTTCAATTTTCTGATAAATGGTCTTCTAAATGGGCAATTAGGTTGGACACTTCATCTATTGGTGAGATCCGATTGAAGGTACCCTGAATGTTCACTCATATAAATGTGATCCCTATTGAATTACAGATCCAGATATCATACTACTAGTTCCACAATAACATTGTAGGCTCACCTCAAATATGTCCGCATCTTCAGTGCCCCAACAACATCTGATCTCACAATCTGCCCATTGCTGTTAACAAGAATGTTAACACTCTCCACAACATCCAAGAACACCTGGAAACACATCGGTTAGATAATTTGGAAAGCACCATCACAAAACTACCCAAAATAACAGAGTGAGCCTGTATCTTACTTCATTCTTCTTGTACCGAATACCCTCACTCCGCCATGACACGGCATTTGTCACTGCCATAGGTGGCCTCTGTGATACCTCCATCCTGTACGCATCCGTCTTAATGAATTCACTTAAGATTTTCGCCTCCGTGTATTGTGGGTACCCAAAATCCATCATTTCATCAAGCAACTCATACTGCAGGCACAAATCAAACACCATCTTGTGTCAAATCCAGTAGATTGTGCAGCAAACCAGAGTGATGCTTAGCTGCTTGCACCATTACTTACCACAACGACAAAGTTATCCCTCAGCGACTCTTCCTCCAACTCTTCGAAATAGTGCTTGAACACCTGCACTCATGCACAAACCAACTTCGTGAACAAACTGAACGCTGAACATGTCATCTGCGTCCCAGGATCCAGGGTGGGTATACGTACATCAACGACGCGGTGGAGGAAGAGGAGGATGCTGGCGGCGTTGCAGTTCTGGCGGGAGGCGGTTAGTAGGAACACGTTGTTGTGCTGGATGAACATGTAGGTGACCCCGGCATCGTCGTAGACCACCGGCGAGTGCGCCTCCGAGTCGCCCTGTTGGTTCACATCAGCTTAGCGCGCAACGCCACCGGCGAGCCACATAGATCCTACGAGGACGAGGAGATAGAGAGAGGCCGGGATGCGCGAGCGCTTACCTCCTTGTCGAGGAGCTTGGTGAAGAAGCGCTCAGCCTGGAGGGCGGAGACGTCGCCGCGGTAGTCGCGCCAGACGAGGACGCGGCCCTTGATGTCCAGAAGGAACAGCGCCGACACCGCGCCCGCCATCGGCGCGGGGTGTATATGATCCCGCCCCGCCGGATCTGGATCTACCCGCCTATCGCCCTACCGGCGACGGCCGGCGGCCATCCGGCGGTGATGCGGGCGGGCGGGCGCGGGATTCTCCTCGGCTTGTCGCCTGCGGAGTCGCGCCGCGCCGCGGTGCCGTGCTCGCGTAGCGCGGCGGTGCGGGTGTTTGGGTGGATCGGAGACGGGACGCGGGGAGCGGGGAGATCGGGAGTGGAGACGGTGAGGAGGGGCAGGATCCGGGGAGGTTTTCTCTCCTGTCCCACTGTACGGTGGGTCCCAGGTATGTCTCTCTGGGTTCTCGGACCCGATTGTCAGAAACTCATAATATTGAGAACATATTTAGATGGGACTAAATTTCCCTATCACATCAGATCTTTGGACACTAATTATAAATATTAAACGTATACTATTAATAAAACTCATCCATAATCTTGGACTAATTCACGAGACGAATCTATTGAGCCTAATTAATCCATGATTAGCCTATGTGATGCTACAGTAAACATTATCTAATTATAGATTAATTAGGCTTAAAAAAATTGTCTCTATTGAGCGTAATTAATCATGTGTCTCTATTAAGCCTAATTAATCCATGATTAACCTATGTGATGCTACAGTAAACATTCTCTAATTATAGATTAATTAGGCTTAAAAAAACCTATGTGATGCTACAGTAAACATTCTCTAATTATAGATTAATTAGGCACAGTACAATGCAGACACTCACAATGCACGCGCACGCAAACCCTACCCCTACGAGCATCTTCGAAGACTGGGCCGGCAAATCCTGGAGAGATTGACGAAGTCACCACAGGCGCCTCTAATTATAGATTAATTAGGCACAGTACAATGCAGACACTCACAATGCACGCGCACGCAAACCCTACCCCTACGAGCATCTTCGAAGACTGGGCCGGCAAATCCTGGAGAGATTGACGAAGTCACCACAGGCGCCTCGCTGTCGATGGGTACGTCGCCTACCACTGAAAGCACAACGCCGTTAAATCCTGGAAAATTCGCTCCCACGGGGAGTCGAACCCAGGACCTCAGGTGCTACTGAGGCTCTTGTAACCACTAGGCTACAGGCCCTTTCGCTATCATTTATGTAATTAGTTTTGTAAGTAGTCTATATTTAATACTCTAAATTAGTGTCTAAATATAGAGACTAAAGTTAAGTCCCTGCATCCAAACACCACCTGAATTGCAGCGATCAAACAAATTGGATTGGGCAAGTACAAAAGTTTGGATGAAAAATCGTTACTCCCTTCGTCCCAAAAAAGGCAAACCCTGGGTTTCCGTGTCCAACTTTGACTGTCCGTCTTATATGAAATTTTTTTATAATTCGTATTTTTATTGTTGTTAGATGATAAAACATGATTAATATTTTATGCGTGACTTGTCTTTTTAATTTTCTTCATAATTTTTTCAAATAAGATAGACGGTCAAACGTTGGGCACGGAAACCAAGGTTTGTCTTTTTTTAGGACGGAGGGAGTAGGTTTCTGTGGCTTCTTTTGAATTTTGTGGGGTTTATTTTCTTTGTACCAGCAATGAAACAATATACATAACTTATTTTTATCCAACAATTTGTCTGATTTGCTATCCCACCAAGCAAACCATCTCCATCAAAACACTGTCCTATCAAAATTTTGATAAAACACATCTATTGATCTTGTATGCACCTTATTTTGTCACCAAATGAACATATCCTTTCTAATTATGTCCTACAAAATTTTGGTATTGCCAATGGGTACAATGAGCCCAAATCTCAGCTTGACATGGGCATGTTGGAGATGATGAAGTCTAAGGCTGTCTTCGGGAGCTCCTCCCCGGCACGCACAACAAAATACGTATTATTGGATGATTAATTAAGTATTAACTATTTTTTTAAAAAATAGATTAATTTGATTTTTAAAACAACTTTCGTATAGTTTTTTTTTGCAAAAAACACACCGTTTAGCAGTTTGAAAAACGTCCATGCGGAAAACGAGAGATGTGAGTTGGAAAAATTGGGATAAGAACTTAGCCTAAGTGGCAATGAAAAGGCTACATCCATTTATTGGAATAATTGGAACTTAACATCATGAGGATCATTATGGAGAAACCGAAACCAAGACAAAAACGTCAGCCAAAGTACATAAGGTAAAAATATTGGAAATTTTCGATTACATGAAAGATACACACATTCACACCCTATCCAACATGCTATAATTTTAAGGTACTTAGGCTAGAAAGATTATTCAAGTTGAAAAATAGCATAATGCTGAACAGATTATCCACATGTGATTCTCATGATATTGTTTTGTGACTTGGATATGTTTGTGGTGTTTTTGAGTCAGTTTATGACTACATGTCAGTGGAGCAAAATCGATTCAATTTGATTGTGCTTGCCATGGTCGATGGAGGTGGGTTGGCTTCGTTTGAAGCCATGCGATTTTTTACATTTCCTTCTTCAATGTTCCAAATGGAAAATGTTTCTTTCATTCGCTCGATGGAGGCAAATAGAGGAGACCAAAGCTTTGTCCTTGTGGTTGTACGTTGATATTGATGCCTGGTCTTTGCCGTTGGCGATCAAATGGGGTTGCTACGTGGGTAGTGATCTCCGTCTTGATTGGGAAGATTGGTTGACGACTATTGAAATTGGTCTAGCAACCATGACTAGTCATGAGCGGACCCTTCGGATGTTTTTGACGAACAATAGTCACCATGGGCAATTGTTACCCCTACTATATTCGCTTTAGCTAGACAGTGACATGGAGTATAAGCAATGATGATGGCATGGCAGAAACTATGATCTAGTTCATCTAGATTCGGCAACATCAGTTCTTATTTGTTGTCTCGTTGTTGAAGGTGTTGTCTTACATTTCAAATAAAAATCCACCCATGTTTTTTTTATGACCGCAACACATATAGGTCTTGACCTTCTTGAAGACCCCACAGTTAATTTTCATTAATAAGGAGAGAAAATTGTACAAAAGAGTTGAAGATGTTGTTTTGGAATAGGTGCATAATACTTTGTGTTTGTGTTAATTATGTGTAGGGCGAGTTGCTGCAAGGCAATATGTTCATGTTTGCCTTTTTAGGATGTGTGCATCCCTAATTGATGGAGGTCAAGTGTAGTTTCATTTCAATGAAATTCTTCTCATTATCTAAAAACATACCAAGAGAACACCGGTGGTGCAATATTAAATTTGTGGTTACATAACTCTACGTACGATGGTTCAAATTTTGGTGTCCAAAAATATTACACATATATGTGTGAATACACTCTCAAATCTCAATAGGAATTTAATGAGACCATCGATTTACTATTCTAGTGTTGCGTGCATGTATCTATTTAAAAAGGTTAAGGAAGTCGTTTTGGACAGCGACACGGTCTCCAAAATACAATTTTGACTTCTTGTTTCTATAAAAATATTTATTGAAAACTGATATATGTATAATTTTATGAAAGTATTTTTCAAGACAAATCTATTCATATAATTTTTATTCATGATTTATATTCCCAAGGTTTGACTTAAACATTATCCTAAACGACTTCCTTTACAAGTACGGAGGGAGTACGTATACATGATCTCTCGGGTGCCATGAATTAGGCTAATGTTAATTATAAGTTGTATGACTTATCTGCAACAAAAGGGTAATTTATGGGTAAAAATAAATAAATAAATAAATAATTTATGGAGTATATGTCTAGCGATTTAAAAAGTCAATACTAACAAATAAACTATGGAAAGAAAACAAATCATCTCTAAATTAAGTATAGCAACAGGTTATAAGTTGTAGGGCAAACGATTAGAGGTGCAAGAGTCACAGGCTCCAAACCTGCTGCACAAAGTTTTGCCGGTCAATTCATGTATAGAACCATTCGAGACGAAAGATTCAAAAGACACTACACCTTATGTGACAGGAAGCTTCTTTTCATACGATAATATCTCTTTCTAGATCTGCCCTTACTTAAAATTCGCATGCTCAAACAGGGCTTACTTTGAAATGCGCCCTGCTATTTGAGCCTTCGAATGCAGATAAGTATGAAATTGGTAAAAATGAAGCTAGCAAAAGCCAAAAACTAAAATTAATGACACAAGCAGTTCACGCACGCATAAATAGCACCATGCTTCATTATTTTACGGAGTAGCACGCTGTACTACACGGTACGAACATAACCATAATACACACAACATCAGGGAACAGTCCCCATGATTCTAGTTACCAGTTATTTGTCCCCACGACTCTAGTTACCAAGCAAACATGAAACAGCTTCTCCATGAGCTTAGCTCTACTTCTGCCTCTTGTAGATCTTGTGCAGGAAGGATTTCAATACATTCTGAACTGCTTTGTTCGGATGTGCTTCGATGTCGGCAATCAGCTTATTGTAACTCTCCCTCTCGTATTCATGAAATACGGCCTGCAGTATAACAGATAAAAGCAGTGCCTCAGGTCTTGCAATGGATAAATGAGAAATTCTGAATTATTGTTTCAAGCATCTTCAACAAATGAGTTCCTTCTTATTCTTAAAAAAACAACTGAGTTCTAAGTTTTGTTCCTCATCGAGTTGGGATGGTAATTATTCTTTTTCACACCTGCGTATGATGTCTGCATATGTTTACTCAGGTGATGATGATACACATAACATAAATACAGAGAACGGTTAAGACAAACCTCCAGATTAAGTTCTTTATACAGATCCTTCACTTTTGCAACACATTCAGGATCTGGCTTCCCATAATTTTCCTGTCAATTAGACATAAAGGATTCAGATGGTGCCCATGGGTTGATAAAAACTACAAAGTTAATAATACTTACAAATAGAATGTGCTTTTGGTTCTCGTCAGCACGCTCGAGAGCTTGCACAACTAACCATGAGCACTTGTAGTCTTCAATGTCCGTTCCAATCTGCATTAAGATTTCTACTGATCAGATCATAAGCTACAGATAAAATAAGCCTGGACAGCAATGGACCGATTGGCAGTAGCCATACTCATTGGGATTAGTACAACCACAACGGGCACACTAACCTTGCCAATAAACTCAGGATCACCATAACAATCTAGATAATCATCCTGTGAGAAAACTCGTATTAGTGCGGTAGTCCAGTAATATATAAATTCACAACCAACAAGGTGAAAAGGTACCTGAACTTGGAAGTATGTCCCCATTTCCACAAGAATGTTCTTAACATCACCGAAGTTATCCAAATTCTCACCAGATAGCAGCAAAGCACATGCAACCTTGGATAAAGAAAAATATTATTGCTAGTGATGACAACTATTCGCAGATTACCGAAGTGAGAGTTTAAAGATGGAAAAAATCCATAGGAGAATGGTAAATCCTACCGGAAGATAGAATGAGTAGTAAGCTGTCTTGTACTGAACAATGCGGCGGTGACTGCACAATATGTCAGTTAAAAGAACACCATTAAATGAAGATCATAACCCAATTCTGAACTGCTAAAATAAAATATAGTGCAAATACAACTCATTCTAGAAACTACACATGGAACACAGAAAAGGAACTATCTGTTATTTTTTCCGTTCCTTTGTTTTGTTTGAACCTTATTTTTAGAAACAAATGGACAGGAAATCATGCAAAGAAAGAAAGAAACAAACACGTAAATGCAAAATGAACTTACACTGTCAAGTTGTACTTTGTGAGATCCTTTTCTCCCTCATGAGTAGTAATAAGATCCAACAATTGACCTGAAGCAGTCTTAAACTCAACCTAACAAAACAAAAACATACAACTGGGCATCAGGGAGAAGCGTACAGTATTTTTTTCCCAACAATATGTGCATGTCAGAAGATACAACTTACCTCATTGAACAAATCAATGAGATCAACATAATACAGCTTTCCTTTAAAATGGCGTTGAAGAATTCGTGAAATATGGTTGCGAAGGATAATACCATCATTTACAGCAATGAGCCCAACCTATTGCAAAACAATGAAATACACAAATTTAGTTTTATAGGTAACAGATAGCAATTCAACATTGTGCTAATCTGATCACACTCCTTACAAGGATTGAAAAAAGGGAACATGAATCAGTTACTTAATGCATGACCTTTTTTTTTCAATGCCTGTGCAATTCTGGATTATAATTCATACAGTTATAAAAAAACAATATATATAAAAAAATTGATGCATACAAAGGATGATTGTTCTGCTACTGACCTGAGGCACCCTAAACCAGCAAGGCTGGCCACGTCGTGTTTGAGAGTTGTCCATAATATCATCAAGCACAAGAAAATAAGCTTGAAGCTGCAAAATTATGCAGAACCATCAGTGGTGCCACACTTAGCATATAACTTCACTTGGCTAACAAACATCCTACAAGATAGCATTTGGAGAAAACATTACCCATTCAATGCACCAACCAAGGGTGCAGGCAAGAAATGTCTCCTCCTTATTCAGAACATCAGTGCCCTTCAACATCTTGAAACTATCAATGACAGAGATCCCGCGGTTGCACTTTCCTCCGAGCACATTGTAATCCAGCATCTGCTCCGGATAAAAAAAAAATGTCAACTACTTTAACATACTCAAATATACTGTATGTCCAATTTCTGTGGGTATGATTCTGATATCAATACACAATAAATAACAATGGTAAATGGAAATGGAAATGGTAATAGGTAGAGGATAAAAATCAAACAACAGAAACAAACCATCAGCAACCAATCATTTACACTTAGCTACTACTGTTGTGTCATTAACAGTAAAAAGTAGTAAAACTTTTAGAATACACCTGAACAATGTATTGTGCTCCCCAGCTTTTCACCTATATATATTTTATTACCGGTGTTTCGCTTTGGACAACTCTTTAACCAATGCTTTCACTTTGGACCGGATAATTTACCTTTGTGGCACTTTGGGCCACCCTCAACTCCTTTATCCATCTGCATTCATATGTCAAAGAAATGATCTACATATAGCCGAGGGAGTTTATTGACGAGTATGAGCCGGCATACTCGAGGTCATTCATATGCTTGAGAAGAGAGTTGGGGTGTCCCAAAGTGAAACAAAGGCAAGATTTACCTGGTTTAAAGTGAAAACATTGGTCAAAGGATCGTCCAAAGCGAAACATCAGTAATAAAAGGTGGCCCAAAGTGAAATTTACTCTTTATTTTTGAAGGAACATCTGTAATATTTATACTGTCTAACCAACGGGATCTGAAATATTAACATGCAAAGTAGTAAAAACAACTAGCTCTTTTTATCTTTCCACGGTTAAGGAGATGCAGCTTGGATCTGAAATATTGACATGCAAAGTAGTAAAAACAACTAGCTCTTTTTAACTTTCCACGGTTAAGGAGATGCAGCTTTGATAGATCGTTTTTGCTGCAATATAGAACAACTCAACATACGGTGAGTTCATCTTTTATGTCAAGGAAACCCACAGCATTTTCACCTTATCGATCTAAATATTCCAAAAGATGTACTTAGGCAAAGATCAAAATACTCAACAAGAATTTTGTGCCCCCCTTCCTCCAACACACACACAAATAAAAGAGAACATGGTGTCCAAAAGGCTAGCTTTACTAATTTTTTAAAGGATCTGTTGTACAACAGAAATGAAATCCGTATGCTTAAAGTTCATAAGGTGACTTTATATGATCTACTTCACCAGCGACTGTAGGTAAAAAAAGACACTCCTGTCCGGCTTTTCCTAACAAGTTGATCGATCAATCACTGTAGCCTAGAAAAGCCCTGCCTTCCTTGTTCACCTACTCTTGTTAACAGATAAGAGAGAGAGATTACTCGCTCTGTTGCTCAGAGTTCAGACCCACTATGCAATTCAACACACCATATCGATCTGTATGTGAGACGTAAACTTACTTCGTTACCCCCTAGTCATTGCTCGCATACTCCATACTCCTAACATTCTACCATCAGGAAACACATATACCAATAACAGAGCGAATCCACCAGCCAAGCGCCACTCGTAAGCCCAGAAAACCCGGCGAAATTCCAAAAGCCTTTGACGCGTCACGCGAGCACGTAGGCATCAACGCCACCCCCTCCCTCCCCTCTCGCTAAACCAGATCAAAAACCAACATCCGTATCCCTCCCAGCATAAAGGATCGAGACGGGGAAGAGAGCATTACGCGGTCGATCCACTGGAGCGACTCGTCGGTGAACTCGAAGGCCGGGTCCTCGAGCATCTCCTCCTTGAGCCTGCTGTATATCTCCGCGAACGCGGCCTTGGAGGAGTCGCCGCTCGCGCCGTTCGCCACCACCGCCGCCGCCATTGCGCCGCTATCCCTCGACTGCCTCACGTGCGATGCGAGGGCGCGGAGAGAGAGAGAAAGAGAGAAGAAATTAGTGGCGAGTATTGGAGAGGAGATGGGGGATGAGGACACACAAAATTTTGTGGGGAGAAGCAGCTTCGGCGCACGCGTTTATTTAAGGACGGGAGATGGGCGCCGTGAGAGGCACACGTTTGCTTGCTTGGCTGGTTTGCGGAACTAGCGTTCCACCCTTTCCAGAAAACACCGTGAATTTGACAGAGTTTAGGGAGATTTTAATTTGAAAGAAACGTGTAGAATAATTGGGAGGAGATACGAATAAACGAGTAACGGATTGGAGGGCGACAGACTGACAGTGCGGTCTTGGCTACTGATTTGGGTAGTACTCCGCAAAATCATACTATTTTGTTTAATTTGCAATTTGGTTGTTTAGATACAAACATTTATTGTTATTGTTTTAGCTGCAAATGCATGGTAACTCAATAGAATTTCCACTACAATTAAAGTATTCATTAGTAAAATCTACCGATGCATGTTCATGTCATGTAATAATCCAGAAAACAAAATATATTTGGGTTGATCGGATTCATGGTATACAAATTTACCGTAATGAAAAAAAAACATTATTATTTATTGTACCGGCTCCGTGTCAATGGTATTTTTAAAAATTTGAATTATGCCATTATATGTGTTTGAGGTGTTGTTAAACCAGTTTTTTTCATACCGTATTTCTATATGGACCAAAAATGCTCATACTAGTTATTACTTCATTTGTCCCAAAATATAATAATTTTTAGCTCTTAGGATTTGTCCCAAAATATAACAACTTCTCTACCAACATTCTCCTCCCAACCAATCACAAACCTCCAACATTCACTTTTCCCACCTACCTCCACTATTCATCCAATCACAATGCTTCATCATTCACTTCTACCTACATTTCTTAATAACCGTGTCCAACTCTAAAACTTCTTATACTATGAGACGGAGGGAGTATCTTCTTATTTCCTATCCCTCGTCAACTTCCTCTAGCTCTATGAGACCGGTGATGGCTTTGGGTGGCAGGTTAGGAGCTTTGATGTGATCGGGGTGTAGCGAGGGAGCTCTACGAGGCCGGTGGTACTCTCGAAGTGGCAGGTCGAAGCTCGACGAGGCCGAGTTGCAACTCGCAAGCTTAACGAGGTCGGTGGCAGCTCAGGAGCCGGTATAAGCGCATTTTACAACTAATATATACTACTACGTAAAAAAAAAGAATTTCTAGCTACGAGCCTGGAAGGATTGGTTTTTTTATTGGGACAGAGAGGGTACATAATAGATGAGCTACAATGGTGTATCTCTTTTTTCTCATCTCGCTTCCTCTCCTCTATTATATTTGGTGCATCTACATTTAAGTATGTGAAGAACTAAGTCATAGGACCTGATTTTTTTCTCTCTCTCCTTTATATACGCTTATAGAATACCATTATTACTTAGCTCCCCATGCCAACGTCAGCACTCCACACTCCACTGGCACGATGGGTCGATGGTAGCGATGGAGAATCTCGCATATCAGTTAGCGGAGTAGTTGGCAGGTAAGAACGACAAAGTAACATTGATTGATTCGCGATATGCACGAGGTAAGGATTTTTTTGTTGTCGTGGGCAACCGAAAAAAAAGCTCCTGGTACAACTCCCTTGGAAGATAGTAATAGGCCGAGCAAGCGAAGAACATGAATATAATCAACTGCAATGAGAGGATTATTGGAGGCCATGAGTACTTTTAGGCTGTATTTTGGATAACTGAAATTGATAATGTATAATCTGATTTTTTTATAGCTATTAGAAAGTACATACGGATAAATGAACCATTACAGAGTTGAAAATTTGCTTTCGAAAAATATTACAACAAAAATAAATTTACAAAAACAACGTTTATAAGTTTGGAAAACAGGCAAATAAAAATCCAAAATCACGAAATAAGTGTAGCTCAATTAGTTAGATTCCATATGATGGAACCGGCCCACTTGATTCAAGTCTTAGATTTGACACAGGTACTCGCAATTATAGCTAATTATTATTTTAATGACAGGCAACGTACCTGTCAATAACAATACATGATGTTCCAGTCTTCTGAATGTGCTCAGAGATAGGATGTGTGTGTACACGTTCATGGGAAATATTTCGGATGTCCTTATAGAAATAGGATGTGTGTCTTCGTGTTTATAGGGATGAGTGTGCATATACTCGTCTAATTTTTTTAGAGGTGCTCATAGCGATAGAATATGTGTGTACGTATGTTACGAGGGTTTGCATTTGTACTATTTTTTCAAAGAAAATCAAAAGATAAAAACAGAAAAGAATAAAGTCGAACGAGACCACACGAATTGCTCCATAGGGTAAGAAACCAGTAGTCAAAGAAATAATAGTCGACGATCGGTTATACTCTTTCGTATAGAACCATTTAGTGGTTTTAAAAACATGCTAAGTCAAAAGAGAGAGAGAGAGATATTAGTTTGGAAAATAGGGGAAGGAACTCAGCCTATATGTCATTCTTAATGGATTATCCTGTCAGCATTTGCATTAGTTTTCTGTAAGATCAATCCACTTTGTTAAGATTATATGGGACTAATCAAGATGATGATGCTACACGTATGCATTATATATTTTCTGATTCGGCCGTCCGAACACGTTGAGTGCGACTGTGCAAACACGTGAGCAGTGAGCTAGGAGTACGCGAGTCATGTGACGAAAGAAAGGAAGCACCGGGCTATGCCAAAAGAAAGCCCTCAGGGAGTTTAGGAGTAGAGTAGTTGGACAGTGTGTAGTGCACTAGTGCCAGTGAACTGCTCGCTAATTCCAATGGGCTTATGGGCTTACTACTGGATTGTCACCTGTCAACGAGGAGCAAGCACCGGCGCCGTAACCTCCGGCCACGTGTGTATCCTCCCAATCATGCCAGCACAGTAGATCCACACGTGGCCGCGGCCCACACCGTGACACCGATAGGCGATAGGATCGAGTTGCACGGCTGCGGCTCTACTTGGTCTCGAGGCACGGTGCCATCTCCGCGCGGTGCGTCTCCGTCGCTCTCCGGGGTCCGGGGCTCCGGGCCGGAGAACTCTTCCACCGATTTTCCCCCAATCCCCCCACCACCGTATGCCGTCACCAGTGACCAAAGTGGCTGCCCGTACGCAGGTAGGCACCGATCGTCGTCCGCGAAGGCCGGCGGCTTGTGCCCAGGTGCTCAACTATCACGTGGCTAGGTGGCTTGACCAGACCAGGGACGTACTTGACCAACGGATCGAGTGGCGCACGGCGCAGGCCCTACGCTAGCACGTAGTACGCCCGTTAATTTCACGAGCGAGTCGCACGAGACGCATGTGTGTGTTTTGGTTGTATATAGAGTTGTGTCACTTGTGTGTTTTGTCTTGGGGCTTCTCCCTCTCGTGATCGCGTCTGTGGAAGAAACGGCACGACGGTCTCGCTTTCACCGGCCGGTCGTACAACGGTCTCTAGGCTCGTAGCCGCCGTCTCCCGCAGGGCGCAGCGACGAGGTGGGCTGATTGATAATTATAGGCTGGGCAGTAGGTCAATAAACTGGGCCGAAAATGTTGGCCCACTCTGAGCCAGGCCTAGAATACAGTACTGTAGTAGTTTCGACCGGGCCGAATACCTTTGGGTTGGCATTCGCTGGAGCACGAGCGCAAACCCTGGTATATGTTCTCGTTTGGTTTCTGCTGAAAAAAACTACGTACACGCGCATCTCGATCGACCACATTCGAGAGATGCAACAACACCGCAAACAACACACACACACACACACACACAAAAAAACTCTTTTACACATTTCCCGCTTGTCTACCTAGCCTAATTAATCCAAGCATATCTTTTTCACATGCAAGTGTATGCATAAATATTCATCGTGCCGTCATCAGCAATATCGAACTAGGTCAGTGCACGCATGGTTGGCGTGCCAGGGTTTTTTTTTCTTTTCTTTTTCTTCTTCCGTGAGGTGCGACGCATGCGTCGGAAGGCGCGGTATCAGTAGCTCCGTATTCATGTCAGCTTGTTTTTCTAGCTGAGCTCTTGCTTGCAGAGAGGGCAAGAGGAGATGATCCTGAGCCACCTGTCCACGCATTTCAGGTGGAACATGTGCGTGCACGGCAGCTGCCTCACCTCCTCCTTCTCCTTGTACTGAGCCAGGCATATGCAGCACTCCTGCCATTTAATTCCAGTAAGTATGTAAAAGCAAGGACAATTCCTAGTTTCCTATAAGTTGTGAGCTCTAAACAATAATAAGCTAGCTAGAGAGCAAACTAATTGGCTTAGATGTATAAAACTGGACAACATCAACACATCATAGCTAGTTAGCACTAGTTTATGTTGGCTAAGTGCCTAAGTTGTTCCTAAGCAAGCACCGAACCAATGGGAAAGGTAAAGGTTTTAGCAGTTCTTATGTTAGCTAGTTAGCACTAGCTCATGTTGGCTGAGTTGTTCCTAAGCACCGAACCATGGGGAAAAGTAAGGTTTTAGCAGTTCTTATCTTAGTATATCCGCCCAAAAAGGAAGATTGTTCTAGTTTGGTGCGCACGTTTCATCACTTTTTGGATATCCTATTCTGGCCAATAGCCGAGTTCACCAATCATTTGTTTGGCGAGTTTCTCCTTAATTCCCCTCTCTGCATCGCTAAACTTTCCTACCTCCCCGCAGAGACATGCACGCTGCTTTGCTACTGCCTAATCATCTCTGTGCATGCAAAACTAACATATCCCACGATATTAACGTACGCGGCAACGGAACGTGCGCTCACCTGATCGTCGTGGTCGCGGTCTCTCGGCGCGTCGGCCGGCTCCTTGAACCGCCACTGCGGCAGCGCGGCGAGCTGCTCGTCGGAGGCGCCCCGGCCGACGGACGCGGAGTTCATGTTGTACCCGAGCGCGTAGCCGACGGCCGGGACGAAGCAGCAGAGCAGGAGGAAGAGGAGGAATGGGAGCGAGTAGACGACGGCGTTCCATGCGAGGAGGCCGATGCAGAGCGCGTACAGCCTCGGCGCGCGGTGGAACGACCCGAGCCGCGCGTCGAACACCCACACGTTGCCCATCACGAACCACATCGCGAAGAACAGCTCCAGGAACGCCCGTGCCTTGTTCATCAGATACGACCTGTTCCTGCATCCCACACACACAATTTCAATTTCCATCAAGAAATTAAGAAAGCTAATCAGCTAATGCCGTTTTATGAACCTTAGAGGGTCGTTGGCGCCGTGCATCTCGGGATCGTCGGAGAGCGTGCCGCCGCGGGCGCCGGAGGAGGAATGCCGGTGGCGCCAGTAGAGGAGGGGGAGGCTGAGCACGTTGCCCACGTTGTAGGCGGCGACCCAAACCCGGAGCGGCCACGCGGGGCGCTCCTTGGGGGAGGTGGCGACGACGGCGGTGGTGACGACCATCTGCGCCATGATCACGCCGAGCTCGAGGGCGAGCCAGCCGGGCGAGTTGAAGGGGTTGGAGCCCAGGTCGGACCTCGGGCCGTTCTGGTACTGGTACACCCGCCTCAGGAAGATGAACCACCGCGCCCTCGACATGCGCGCCACCGCGCGCATCGTGAACGCCGACACCCGGCCCGTCCCGGGCGTCGCCGACGACGAGGGCGGCCGCATTGTGGTGGCCGGTCAAGGGGGAGGGGCATTGGGGGCGCGGCTGATTTGAGCGTCAAGGGATAAAATGGGTGGGAGGGGAGGAGGCGATCGAGTTGGGTTTGAGATGGTGACCAACAATCTAACGGCTTTGCTTTGGCGCCAAGAGTGGAGGTCGTGGTGTGGTGAAGATAAAAACGGTTGGCCTAACCGTCCCCTTCCCGCCAATGCTTCTCATGGCTCTTAGGCTCTAGCTTGTGTTTGGTTTTGTTTAGGTGGGACGCAAGGAGAGAGAGCCACAGAGGTTCGGTTTATGGTGGGCAGACGGCATGACTCAACAAAGATCCCTTGTTGATTTCATCCTGTAGTACTAATACATTGACACATTGTTTCCTTAAACATTGCATTTAGGTCACGATTTTATATATTTGAATGTCGAGTTTGATTTGGTTTCGGTAAAAAAAAAAGGTACTAGCTTGTGTGTATCTCTATTGTAATGGTAGGTGAAGTGCAACAGTTTAAAACAGCATTACTTGTCTGAAACTATATATCTTGAATCATACAGTGCCTTTCAGTCAAGGACGACGAGAGGGATCATCACTCATCAGATGTCGCTGCCTCATCCATTGTGTTGAATCGAAGCTACTGACAATGAAGCTTATATAGCAAACATCACAGGAAATTGATTGTTTTCTCTTTTTTTTTGGGGGGAGGAAATTGATTCATGAAGCTGCCGCAGAGGACCCGGAGCTCCTCTGTATAGGTTGAACGTCTCTGTAGATGTGGTAGGCAACTACCAGCAGTCCGCTTCCTCATTTTGGTTGAGAAATCCCGTTTCTGACACGGTACTTCAAACCTTTCTGGTCACTTCCCGATCGCAGATCCACCATCGGTGAATTACCGAGACGCTCAATTTGGTATCAATATTGTCGTGTGCACTAGCAGGTAAACAGGCGGGGTCCGGGGATCCATTGAGCCTGAGGTTATCGCTCTCGTTGCATACGTGCGTTTACGCTCTTTACCTTGTGCAGAACGGGTGAATGGGTGATCTGCAAGTTAAATCTGAAGTCTTCGTGGGAAGGTGACATATGCCTCTCTCTCTCTTGTCTAGTTGTCTCTTCTCTCTTTACGCGAAGGCAAAGACCGTTCCTGCTACACTTCCCTCGTTAAAAAAGAGGCCGTGCCTGCCAGTTTGGTAACACCCGCAAAGGGTGAGATAAAACCGGATCAAGTTCACTTTATGTCCCTCATGTTGATATTAAGTTTGAATTATATTCTTAAACCAGAATATCATAAATATCGAACCCCCAAATTTTAAAGCCAAATTAAATAAGATCCTAAAGCAATAAAGATGATTATTTTGGTTGACGTGAAATCCTAGTCAAAAAAAAAATGTGGGGCTACATGTAAGTGGGCTTCTAGAGGCTCTCTTCTTTCTTCCCCATCTCCACCTCTCCGGCTCTCCCCACTCCTCCATAGGAGCTTGCTGGGGGGAGACGGTCAGCTACTAGTGAGAACGGAGCAAGGCGGCAGCGGCAACGGAGTCATAGAGCTCAAGCAGTCGCCTACTCGCCTCACTCCTCTCACCTCACGACCGGAGTGCAGCATCGAGGGCGGTGCTTGGGCAAAACACGATGCGACGGCTCCTGTCTCCCAAGCACAACATTGGCTGCGTGTAGGACAGAAACGGATGGCTCGGGCCTTGGTGACATTGTCGGCCTCGACGCCTCGGCAGTCACAACAACGACGACCATATCCTCCTCCTCCCTTGCCCTTCCCTCTCCCCTACCAGCGGCAATAGCTGCACAAGCACGAGCCATACACCCCCCGCCCCCCGCCCCCGGGTGTCCAGCGTTGGAGATCAGGCGAAGGTAGAGGCCAAACACGTGTGGTGCAGGGCGCAATGGGAGTCATCGTGGCCACACCACATGATGCGACGGCTCCGGTGGAGGACGAGCGTCACCTCCAAGTCTTTCGGCGTTGTGGCCTCCACAACACCCTGTGGAGGGCTCCAGGCACCATGGAGACGCTCGTTTGCATCTGTTGTGGCTGTCGAGGCAGGCTAGCATGGGATGCGCATGGAGCTTGATGATGGTGGCGTTGGCTTCCTCGCCTGCAGGCGCGGTGAGGTGCTCTCCACGCAGGAGCTGGCCTCGTGCTAGCGATGGCCAACCGGTGGGAGGCGGTCGTGGTGGTGGAAGTCGCCTCACACAGCCACAAACGCATCCTCTCTAGTTGCTCACCGCTACCGTCGCTTTCAAGGAAACGGCTGCCAAGCTCGAGCTCATCAGCTCCTTTTCCTCCTCCGCTGTGGACCACCGACACCCCTTCGCCGTTGACCTCCAACTACCGCTTCCGTCTCCCATGACAGACTCATCGGTCGTTGTCCCTCTCCTCATCGGCGAGCTCCTAGAGAAGAGACGGGAGAGTTGAAAATAGGAAAGAGTCGATAGGTAGAAGTCCACTTACATTTTTTTTGGAACGACTCACACGAGACGGTGCGAGGTTCTATTGATAGAGTAGTAAAAAATTACAAGATTATAACCCTAGAGAGTCATAACTAGGAAAAGGAAAAAAATACCACCACCCACACGCCGACATCGCCAACACACACGCCCAGGAGAAGGCTACCACCGGATCGGCCGCCGCTAAGCGTGACCGACTGCCACTAGACCAACAAAGGGCACAGACGAGATCGCCCCTGCGAAACCACGGCTGACGCACCGATGCTCCACCACCACACAAGCTTTGCCGACATGTGGGACCCCCTCACCGGCATCCCCCGCCAGCTAGCCTTCGTGCGCCGAAGACCGCGCCACACCCACCGGCAGCTCCTCCTCACACCTAGGTCGCCTCCTCCACCGCCGGCAGTGCCTCACTACGCCAAACCGGCCTCCTCTACCGGACGCGCCTCTCGCGCCAATCTGGCCTCCCTCTAACCGTCGCACCTCTCGCGCCAAGCCGGCCTCCATCTCCGCCGCCCACGCCTCTCGCGCCGAGCCGACCTCCGCTGCCATCGGTTGCGTTTCTCTGCACCAAGCCGGTCTCCGACCCCTCCATCGAACGGTGCCACGCCGGCCAGATGCGGACGTCTCCCACGCCTTCGGCTAGTCAACCGAGGCTGCCATGCCTCCGGTGACCGTGAACACGGTCACCACCACCACAGCCGCTACTGCCGAACACCTAACCACCTCGCCGTCATCATCCCCACCTCGCACCCGACTCCTTCCCCGCCACCAACGTCATCACCGCCTCTAGAGTCACAGCCACCGTCGCCGCTGCCACCGACACCAACCACCGCCTCCGCAAAACCGCCGTTGCGCCATCGCCCTCCACCACCGAGTAGGTAGCAGCCCGACGCCATTGCTTCCACCGCCGTCGCCAGATGACACGGCAGCCACCACGTTGCCGCCGGCCCACGGCCGCCGCCGCTGCCGTCACCACACTGCCGCCGTCGTCGCCCACTGCCGCCGGCATCCAGATCCGGCCGAGACCATCGCCTACTGCCGCCGGCCGTCGTCGTCGTCGTCGCCAACTGCCGTCGGCCAACTGCCTCCACCCTCCAGATCCGGCCGAGAGGCGCGGATCTGGGAGGCACCGCCGCCGCCTCCGCGCCCTCGGCCAACTCCATCCCCGCCGTCGTTGCCGCCACCCTCGCCGCCGCCAGTTGCCGCCCCGCCAAATCCGGCCGGAGCGGGCCGGATCTGGCGGTCACCGCTGCTTCGCCTAGGACAGCCCCCTGCCCGCCCGAAAGAGAGGACGTGAGAGGCCCCGCCGCCGCCCTTGCGGCCGGCCGGCTTTGCCGGCGGCCGCTCGGGCGGTGGCGAGGCGGAGGGGGAAGAGGGGAGGGTGAGGGGCGGCCGGGTTGCCGCCTCCCGTGCCGCCCCCAGGGGAAGACGACGCGAGAGCTTGTTTCTTTAGTCCACTTACATGTGAGCCACACATGGTTTTTCTTTCTGATTAGGATGCCACGCCAATCAAAACAGCCATTCATACTGTCTTATGATTTTATTTAACCTGGTTTTGAAAGACAGGGGTTCAACATTCTGACATTACAGTTCGGTGATGTAATTCAAACTCAAACTCAACGTCAAGATGAGGGAGCAAGAGTGAACTTGTTCCAAATTTTAAATTCCAGCAGGATCCTGGTTGCGAAAATTTCTGGTCCACATTGACATTTCCGGGGCGTTGCGACGAGGAGGCCACGAGGCCGGAGCGTCCCCGTTTCTTCGAGGAATAAGTTCACTTTAGGTCCCTCTATTTGTCGTCCAGTCTGATTTTCGTCCCTGAACCGCAAAACCGGGCACGACCCGTCCCCCAACTTACGAAACCAGGCAAACGAGATCCCTTGGCGGTTTTGACAGTGGTTTTGGCTGACGTGGCGCATACGTGGCTAATTTGACTTGTCTTCATATGACGTGGCACTGACGTGGCAATTCGATCCGGAAAAATAATAAAACCCGTGGGACCCACATGTAAGTTGCACACATAAAATAATATAAAAATGGTGGGACCCACGTGGGTCCCACCTGTCATCGTCACTCCTCATTTCCTCCTCTTCTCTCGGCATCTTCATCTCTATCCCCTTTCCTCTATCTCTTCTCTCTACAGCAGCGCCACCACCACGGACTCCGCCGCCGCTCCCGCCACCGCCACATCCCTTGCCGGTGATCCAGATGAGGTTCCGCGGCGTGCAGGTGGATCTCGTGTACGCCGGCGTGTGCCTCCCGTGGTGCCCGACAACCTGGAGTGGACCTCAGTGCGACCGGTCGGTGCTCCGCGGCCTTGACGACCTTGCCACGGCGCGCAGCCTCAACGGCATCCGCGTGGCCGACGAGATCCTGCGGCTTGTCCCGGAGACCGCCGTGTTCCGCACCATGCTGCGGTGCGTGAAGCACTGGGCTAAGGCGCGGGGCGTCTACTCCAACGTCGCGGGCTTCCTCGGCGGCATCGGCTGGGCTATCCTCGTGGCGCGCATGTGCCAGCTCTACCCCAACACATCCCCAGCATGCTGCTCCCGCGCTTCTTCCGCGGCTTTGCGCGGTGGAAGTGGCCCAGCCCGGTGATGCTGCGCGCCATCGAGCACGACGACGGCGAGCTCGGCCTCAGACGCCACCCTGCGCGTCATCACCGAGCAGCTCGCCGTCGGCGACGACGTCTGCCAGGAGATCGTCAAGGCCGACGCCATGTGGGTGGTGATTAGTTAAGTACTGCTTGGTCTTAATGATCGGTAACTGTATGTGTTGCAGCTTGACTAACAAATCACTGAGTCTGAGAAATAAGAGTGGAAGTGTAGCTAGTTCGCCGCAAGCTCGTGTTTGTCCACTGAAGTATTTGCATCACTTGTGTATTCCTTCGTGCGTGTGTGACCTCGCGTGTGTTTTGTTGTTTCTCTGGGCCAAAGCTCACAGGGCTGGGTGGAGTCGCGGTTGAGGCAGCTGTCGGCCAGGGTGGAGGCGGACACGTCCGGGATGCTGCTCTGCCACCTTCACCCGCAAGCGTACGCCACCGAGCACCACAAGGAGCCGCGGCGGCAGGGGGAGCGGGAAGCTGTCTCCGCCGCGGCCGCCTCGACGCCAAGGATCTCCGGGCGGCTCGCCGGCGCTGCACGGATGGCCTTGAGGAGAGCAGCTAGCTCGCTCAGATGGCCTTGAGGTGGTCGGCAGCGGCGGCGGCGGCGATGTCCTTGCCGTCGGCGTCTCAGCGAGGGCGACGATGTTGGGGGAGTCCATGGCCACGACGTCCTCCGTGGTGAACCCATCCTCGTTGCGGAGGAGCTCCTTGCTGCCGGCGGCGACCATCCCCGGCGTAGGCGTGGCAGTGCACGGAGCATGCGGCAGCGTCGACGGCGAGGTCCGCCTCCTGAGCGCCGTCAGCCTTCAGCCTTCCCGAGCCTTGGCACGGCGGACCTCACGTGGTCCTCTCCCACCGGGGACTGAGAGAGAGGATATAGATAACTGATAAGAGGGGAGAAATAGGGTGACAGGTGGGGTCCACGTGGGTCCCACCATTATTTTTATTATTTTGTATGTGCAACTGACATGTGGGTCCCACGGGTTTGTTATTTTTCCGGATCAAATTGCCACGTAAGTACCACATCAGTGCCATGTCAGATAAAGACCGAGTTAAATGAGCAACGTAGGCGCCACGTCAACCAAAACCGCTATCAAAACCGCCGAGGGACCTCGTTTGCCCGGTTTTCGTAAGCTGAGGGACGGGTTGTACCCGGTTTTGCGGTTCAGGGATGAAAATCAGACTGGACGACAAATAGAGGAACCAAAAGTGAACTTATTCCTTTCTTCGAAAGCGAATCAATCAGCGAAAGGCCCGCGCTAACACCTCGGCGCGCGGTGGGACTTTGGGGGCTTTCAGTGTGTGGCCCGTGTGTGCGGCCGGAACAGAGGTGGACACCGTTTGGTGCGGGCGCGATGGATGATGGCCTGCTAGCTGCAGGCTGCGTGGAAGTCCAGTTCTCCCAAAACATGTGAGCCAGGGCCCAAAAATCCCGCACCCTCCAATTACCGCAAACGGAATTATACGTCGTTCGTCGATGTACGATTGCAGGCCGAGTCGCCGACACTGGTTCATCGATGCATCTGATCTGATGCATTTTATATATTTTAGTTTACTTGAGTACACTTACTTTGCCTCTAAAGCTAGACCTGTGAATGATTTTTTTTTCAAAAAGGAAAAAAAAATCATCACCAAACTGATCGATAGAGGCGCTGGTTTTGGAGTTTTCCCTCGTTTTGGTTTTTACCGGTTCAGTTGTCGGCCTGGTAATAATTACTTTACCTGGAAGTAACTAATTTATCTTGTGCAACGTTTCTGTCTCGTCAGAAAAACTGTGCAGCCAGGGAAGCTAGCCCTGAAAGAGAGATGGTATGGCCGAGCCGCAAATCTCTTCTCCTTGAAATGGCAAGCTAAAGATGATCTCATCGATGTTGATCGCTCAAGGAGGCAAGGAAAATTAAGGAGGCGAGAAAAGTACGTAAAGGAGATGGGAACAATAAGTGTAAAGGCAGAACTGAAAACTAATTACCCAAAACTTTATGGATTCGATCACTGCTTGACAGGGAACATACTCTAAGCCCAGGAAAACGACCGCCAGATATATTAGCATACCTTTTTGCAGAAAAGAAGAAAGATTGTCATCTTTTTTAGTCGCAAATAAAAGGGGTTCTCGGCTAGTGGAAAGTATTTTATGATCCTAGATGCATATGCACAGATAGGCTCCTCTTCATTTGTACACAGTTTTAGACAAGGAGCGTGCATCCATGCTTCATTTTATTTTTTCTCGTCGAAAGCTATTCATATGGAGTATGGAAACCAATCCTCTGTAATATTATCCTTTAATTTTAAGTGATTGATATTTGAGCCTTACACATCAAAGGGTGGATATCAAGCTGGCTCGGGCTTGGACTCGGCTCGTTAGGATAATGAGTTAGCTCGACTCGGCTCAAGCTAGCTCGCGAGCTCTACTAGGCAGAGCACCATGCCCTATCTTCTCCACGAGCGCGCACGAGTAGGAGGGGCTAGTGGGCAGCGCAAATGGATGGCGAGCGAAACAAGAAGGAGAACGTCATGGTTGGCAGCACCAGCCGACCTCACCGAAGCAACAGGCTCCACGACGCGCAAAAGCTCACCAGTCTTCTGTCGAAACAGGGACTCGTCATCCTCCGCATCTCGTCGTCTTGGACGGGAAGAAGAAGGACAACAGTCAACGGATGACGATACATGCAGCGCAGGCGCCACAACGTGATGGGAAGTAGAGCAGAGAGCTGCCAAATCCAAGTGGCGGCGAGAGCGCACGCGGCAGCATGCGCATGTAGTACAACCAGGTCAAGGCCAATAGAGTACAGTGAGGGGCGGGGCAACAAGCACGAGCCTCCAAACCACCAGCGGCTGCGGCAAGTGCTCTAGACCTTCACCTTGTTTGGCTCATGAGTAGCTCGCGAGCTAGCTTGAGCTGGTTTGTTATCTCTAACGAACTAATTAAAACATGAGCTCAGCTCTTCACAAAAATGAAACGAGTCGACTCAAGCAAGCCAGCCACGATCTGTCCAACCTACTTACAAAATCGTGCCCACATGTAAGTCACCCACATTAGATGGCAGCCCTGTAAAGAAACCCATCCATGGAGTGTAGATACCCACATAGAAAAATGAAAATAAAACAACTAAAGTATCGAAAAGAAAATCTCACCGTGGTGTACTACTAGGAGTACTTTATAACAACCTTTGAACTTGTTTGACCGTGTTACTTTACAGCTAGTTGCAATTGTGGTTGGGCGATAACTATTAGGGTTTACCAAACCGTTTAAGGTGGGATTATTGCCACCCCATGGTTTGGTGGTTACCGCAAGGTATATCGTAATTTCAGAATCTGGTAAGGTTATCGCACATGATAAACACGATAACCGCACGATTCTATATATAAACTCGGATAGATAGCTATAGGACGAGCAATTATTTTTTTTCGTTTGTTGTGACCGTGCATCCGCAACAATCTCTCTCAAACACCCCCCTCCCCCCCCCCCCAAAATATGTTAAGTTAAAATATCCAAATAAAAAACAAAAACGATACGAAGATTGGACATCTGGAATGAGGATCAATAATGGCCTATTGGCAGGTTGGTCTGTACACGTCCAGTCACTGTACAATAGGTAGATTTGGACATATACCGTTGCAGTACCATGCGTATTACTACTACTACTACTACAAACGAAAAAGAGGCATGATAAGAAAAGGTCAGCTATCAAGTTTTAATCCCCGCTGTAATCAAGCTGTGCCGCAAGAGAAGGAATTCTAGAAGCACCACACACACCCTCGGCTTTCCTCGCTGATTGGCTGATGGAGACCACGACGAGACGGATCGACAATTCGACACTAACATAAGAGGGGTCCAAAATCTTAATCCACCTTGTGTACATATAGTTAACTCCATGTTTGGGCACAGTGGTGTCACCCAGCCCCCATCACCAATCGATCGACGGGTTATTTCCCAATCGCACTTAACGTGACATTGAAGTCAATGATCCCCACGGCGATCGATTACGATCGCTAAACCAATGCGATTACCGAGCGATTAATTAGGTCCTGATACATATATTAGTCACTTTTTTTCGATTCAGATATCCCGTCCTGCCGTCCATCCGTCTATCCGAGTCGATCGTAGTACTACATGGCTGTCGCTATACACACAGCAAATTAATTTCTTACAGATGGTGCATGGCATCGCTTGTGTGCATTGTTGATGACTAGATGTGCGTGGTTGTTCAACGTCACGTAGGTTTAGTGGTACGTTGGATCGTGCTAAAACTCTTCTCGCTTGCTTGCTTAATTAGTTGCCGACTTGCTGTGTGACCTGACGGTATTTTCAGTCGGTGAATGGAGATATGGAGTTGGACGGATGCGACGATCGATGGATGGAACGAGGCATGCACGTGACACGTCGTCGTTAAGGTGAGCCTTTGTCACACGATCTCCTGCTAGCGCATCTCGGCTCGCTCGCTCGACGTCTCGGCTGATCAGTCCGACCCGATCGACGTTCGTGCGCGCGGCAAACGCCAACACCGTTGATTTCGCCTGGTGTACGTGCGGGTGAGCTGTGCATGCACCGCACTGCAGGCGACACGAATGTATGGCTCGAGTGATAGGGCGGCTCGCTATCTAGCTTACGGCCTTCCGCGACCTCGATCGTGCCGACACTCCCGCGGCCGGGCGGCGAACGCCGCCGATCCTTGTGAGTGCGCCATGCGGGGCCTGCACCACCGTCGACATATTGGGCATTGGCCGATTGGCGTTCCACGCTCTCCCCCGCCCCTATAGCTATCTTTGTTTCCTAGGTGTGGAATATCGCACAGCAGCGTGCGAAAGCAACCGCGCCATGGATCGATCCGTAGTTCGGTACGTACGTATAGTAGCGGCACTGCGGCAGTAGTGCTAGTGTGATGACGGCAGGATTGTGGCACACGATCAAAAGCAAGCAGCTCCCCTGAAGACCTGAATCCTGAAACCCTGATGCGGAGAGACCACGTACCGGCCGCTGGGCCGGGCCGCGTATGTCCATCCAGTGGATTGGTCAGTAACTCAGTATAGCAGCCTCACAGGTTTTGTTTACGATTTCTTTTCGGATTTGCAAATTGCAATTTCACTTGTGACAGATTTTTCGCGCTTTTTTCTAATACACAGTACACACGAATTTAGATGCTCATATACATGTATGTACACCCTACCACTATGAGCCACTTTAAAAACTGGGCCAATATATCTTACGATTAACAAAGTTATCACAGGTATCTGATTGCCGATGGATATATCTAATATCACTAAAAAAACTATTACTCGTGAATGTGTGCACTCGTGTCAAGTCTAAAACTTAAATGATTTTACTACACATTTGTCGACAAATTACGTTGTATAACATATGTAGGAGTAAGTTATAATGTAGTTATACTACGATCATACTATATCTATATTTGGTAATTTTTTAAGAAAAAATTTATTGACAAATGTATAGATAGTCCCTAAACCTTATACCAAAAGAAAAGGTAGCCTAAACCTTATACTAAAAGAAAAGGTAAGCCAAGACAAAATATTGACAAAGTTAGATGTTTGGTTGTCAAGATTTTGGTACACAGTTCCTTTGTTTGTTTCAGATGTAACGCACCAGTGCTTGGGCAAGTCCTGCTTCACTTGAGATCAGATATATTTTGGTCTAAAAGGTGAAAATAGTATGGAATTCCCCCGGCTATCCTGAACATTTTCCCCCTTTTGTACTGACCATTTACTTGGAATTGGAATTGACGGAAGCATAAATGTGATCTGGTGAGGCTTTTTTAACGGCCGTTTGGTTAGGAGGAGTTTTTACGAAGGATTGAGAGTTTAGAGGGATGGGAATATTAACTGTTTTATTTTGGTTGGGAGACATAAGAATTTTGGTGGGATGGAGACGGAGAATTAAGAAACTCCCTCATTTTCAATATCTAGGTAGGGAGTGGTAATCGGGAGGAAATTCCTCCTTTACTTTTCTTAAACAAATCTCAATTATCCGTTTTCATTAATAAC